TCATAAACCATCTAACATCACGCAGATAGATCAAATGAGCCTTTCGCATCTACGCATATCAATACTCACATTCCACGTAATACTTTCAAAATTTTCAGAAGTTACCTGGATACTACAGACAGACCGTAAGTTACTGTACCCCAACATTCTGAATGCTCATGACCACTGTTGATCGTCACACTTACAACCAGTAGTGTACTGATATTTTATCCAAAACCAGTCACTCTTATTCAGTGTCCAAAGACCGGACGGATGGACTTATTCTGAGGATCATTCTGGGGGCTGGTGTGGTTTTAAATTCATTTTACCAGTGAGCTAATATTTAGCGGGACTTCTTTAGCAATGAAAAAGCATAGCCCAAATATGACGCTGCAATTGCTAACTAGAGGGACAACGCCAGAATAACGTGATTTCATACTCTTTTGGAAATTTGGGTGGGGTAAACAATGGTTGTCTAATGTTTTCGATTTGCCCAGTGCAGGAAGACGCTTTCAATTGAAACGGAGGTACACTCACCGCTGTGAGTACGAAATAGCAAACGACTGATCTGGTTTGGGTAGTCAAGCTTGCAGAATGACCTTTTATTATTCCAGGGCTATCTGTCCAACATAAAGTTCTGGTTCATGGACGACGCCGGGCAATACTCAGCCGTATTATGCTAATACGGTTCAACTAGCCTGGTTGTAGAGCACTACCTTGGTTACAGTCCCAATCGCCAACCTACTGTCATGCAAATGCCCTGCCAATTTTACAGTGGGAATGGAAAACCCATATTTTGTTTATCCCGACGAGGGCTAGGTAGGACAATTTTCTTCTGAGTGATGCAACTGGCCATCCTGTCGTTGAAGCTATTATTTCCGCTTCCTGCAGATGCAGTTGAAACGATATAGTTGGGTAGCCAATATCGAAAAATTGGAAAGGTGCTATTTAACCGGAAGGTTTGCAAGATTTCATATTACTTTTCCAACATGTTACATGAGACAATTTTGAGCATGAGACTATAATAGCGCATGACAGATACTTATCGGTTACACATGCCCCTACAACTGCCCCCTAACCTTTGGCCATTGAATCCATGTCCACACTATAGAATGAATAACATTCATAGATGCACTCGAAGTGATGCTTTTATCCTACACTGCTTCCTTCACTACTTTCAATACCGGTGGAAATGAGTCTCATGGGCCACCACTAAACAAAGAACCAGAGTTGTGTTTCACCGTCTGTCGCCTCACTTGGCGATACAAAGGGGATGTTCCAACCTGCTGGACGGTCTTCTGTTACATCAAATGTGTGCTGTTAGAAGACAACGGTGGGTCGATTGATTTTTCATTCGAGGGACTATCAGATTTACGAGCGCTTCATTGCAGTGCATCCAGCATTTCAGCGACTGCCCAAAAGGTTTCGGTAGACAAGTTTCTGGTTTTCTAAGCACCGAGGTGAATTTTCTAAAACGTGTTTAGGACAATACTAAGCGTCCAAGATCTTCAGCAATGGAACAGTCAAGGTGGGTACCTTGCAGTCACTTCTGCTACGGTTGACACTCTGGGAACTCCACTACTGAGAGATTGATAACTTCTGAAAAAGCGTCGTGAAAAAATTTCACCGTAGAGGTTTTTAACGCAAGAGCATGTCAGTTGTGTGGGATGTCTTCAGAAGTGTCATCGCTACAAGTTATTCAAAGCAGTTGCCTTACGGCCTGATACTCAGAACCAGCATCAAGGCATACGAACGCGTTCTTCGTGCCTAATGGACCGATTTTTCCCCACATAAGGCAAGCTCTACAAACTATGTCTACGCATAAGAAAACTCAAGATTTGTCCCATAAGTGCATCATAGCTGCAGCTTAAATCGGTGGTGTGGTTTAGGATGTACACTGAAGTATTTAGTACACGAATTTTTCTTGATGGATAAATAAACGCCGTGACTTGTAGGTTTTTTGGTCAGTTATGCAGTACAGTCCCACTTCGGAGGCTTGAACTGCTGGAATACATATAAAGCCAAAGAAGGAGCTTTTCACTGTCAGGTTAACGGACTTATATCTTAACTCTACTGAATGCTAGAAAAGAAGAAGTGTTACTACATCCCTGTTGAAAATTGCGTAAAATGCGCAAAGAAACTGGTTTGGCAGAGTTAAGCAAGATGGGTTTCGTGGTGAAACTGAGGCAGGTATATTGCGAATACCCATTGTTTCCCCCGACCTAAAGCTGTCACCTTAACGTACTGGGCGAACTTGGGTGCTGCAGTGATTCCGTGAGCTACGCTGGTTGGAACTTCCTTCCGTAAGGTGCTACCCTGTCAGGGAGGCTGAAGAAGTGCACAACCACTAAAAGAATTAAGGCCCCGTAATAACGCTGGGCGTATTACGATGCAATAATAATTTAAGTCGTACTCTCCTCTGTAAAGGCAGTGTGTAAAGGTAGTTCGGTGTTCCAACTGGGCGACCAGCAGGTTCGCCCTCACAAGAGCAGTAGCGCCGCCCTACCTGAGGATGGACGGATTAGAAAACGTCTGTTGTAAAATCCGCTGACCCCGATTGTCCAAAGGCTGACTGTGACCGCCGGGGCGTTGTTCATTACGGACGAAATACTTCTAAAACCAAAGAGTCTAGTGATACTCCAGAGGAACCTGCTGTGCGCACTCATCATCATCATCATCATCATCATCATCGTCATCATCATCATCATCATCGTCACCATCATCAAAGATACCAACATTAGTGTTGGCACTGATGATCCACTGCCGTACAACCATAAGGTTCGTCTAGTTAGTTATATATATATATA